TGCAGCTTGTCCTGTCCTCTTGGCAGTTGATTTGCAGATATACAGGGTGATAACGTTAAGCTTGTTGGCAGTAGCTGATGTTGAGTCATTTCCAATGGTCATTAAGCTCCTTCCCTTTACTGTTCAGCTTGTCCTTCAGTGTGCTGTATTATGTTCATTTTCTCCTTCTGCCTATAGCCTTGACTGTTATTCTCCCTACTTATCATCTTCCCCTCATTCTTTCATCCTGTCTTGCATCTAACCCAACATTATCAGTCTTTTTTCCACTGCCTCCCTTTCATCTGTTTTATCCATCTGTCCCATCTTCCTCTAAATCATCTGTTTAAAACGACGCTTCTGAAGTTCAGAGGAAAAGTCATAGAAAGAAATCTCATCAAAATGCACGAAAAGTATATGTATGTGTGGATATGTCCAAGAATGTGTAAAGTGCAGGCAGTGGTAAGAGGAAGCGACTTCACCAAGTCTGTGGGCCAAGCGCTGTCTAAATTTAGATGAGCCAAACCCTCATAGGATCCTTCGTGTTAATCAAAGAGCTGCGCCGACCTTCACAACACTCCTACTCTCAGTTGGAGACAATAACCTAACATGGGTATGGTCAGCCTCGTCCCAGCATCTGATTCCTGTCTGCGGTTTTCAGTTTGTCTTCTTTCTCCGTCCTTGGAGGAAGCCTGACGGAGATGGAAAATTTCTGAGTCTGTCATGATTCATTCATGTTTGAGCTCGTGCTTGTTTGAGAGCTTCATGTAGGAAGAGAGAGGGAGTTTGTATTTATTTTCCAAGGTTTTTTATGCTTTTTATCTGAGTATATGCATTTCAACAACATTGCCACAAATTCATCTTTGTGGGTGTTAGTGTTTGTCAGCTCTTTGGTGCCCACGTGATATCAGAAAATCCTTGACGGTGATGTGCGTGAGTGACTCCCTAGGTTACATGAATCATCCATGATGCGATTTGCAGAAGCCATCACAGCTATCTTACAGAGGCATGTCATATTTATTTGAAAGCTGATGTAGAAAAGATCATTATGTAAAAAATTCAGATTTTTTGGTTTTGTTTTTGTGGATAGATAAAGTACTGTGCAAAACTCTTCAGCCATCTTTCATTTCTCTATATTTAGTAAGGAAAATAGAAAGTAGGTCCAGCAGTCTATTGAAACATGACAACACACATGGAAGTAAAGGATAAAAGGCAGTTATAATGAAATAATGAAAGTCAATATTTGGTATGACCACCTTTATTTTTCCACACTTTTACCTGAACTCTCTTAGGTAAGATTCCTTTCAATTTCAAGTAGGTTTCAGGAATAGTTCTCCAGGCTCCTTGAAAGACATTTAAAGCTCTTCCTTGGATGTTGGCTGGTTTTTGTGTTGTTCTCTGTGAAAATAATTCCACACGGTTCAATAATTTTGAGGTCCGGGCCCGAGGAGGCCAATCCATGACTGACAGTGTTCCATTGTGGGCTTTTCTATCCTGGTATGCTTTTACTTCATTGGCAGTGTTTGGGATCATTGTCATACTGCTGCCAATCAGGCCCTTTCCAGGTGATCTTATATGGTGAATCAAATTGTCATGGCATGATCCCCAACAACCTCAAACCATGACATGACCATGGACCTCCACCATTTTTTCCAAAAAAAACAAGAAAAAAAGGTCAGGTACAAGACTGGACTGACAATGAGTGAAAAAACACCCAGTATCCAAATAAAAGCACTGCAAGACCTTCACTATTTCTCAAGACCACTTTAAAAAAATTTCTAATAAAATAAGAAATCAGCGGTAGCTCAGTAGTTTTGCACTGTAAACGGAGACCCTGAACGTTCTTCTTGGTTCTCGTGACATCACAAATTCTTGATGCAGTTTGAACTTCCCTAGTGTGTTCAACTCATTGGATTTGTGCTGATGTAGAAATAGTACAGGTAATATTCCCACTGAATTCCCAACAAGTAAGAAGTTCTCACCTGCTCTGCGTCATGCACACTCTAATCTGAAATAAGAAAGCAGCTAATGCCAACTACTTCCTGCTGTGAAACAGATTCTGGCCCTTTGTGATTTAGTCAGAGAATGGAAGCTGTCGATTGATGTTCATCATTTTTCATGTACATGGATATACAGTTGTCATACAGTCTGAGGCCAGTTTGTCCATTACACGCAAGTCTAAATGCACTAGTACAAAAAGACTGCTTTCGTGACTAATTCAGGTTTCACCACGAGATGAGATGGCTTGATTACGTGGTGAGTCTCAGAGAGTAGTGTAAGATTCTTGCTAATTTAGATGCTGTTTCATCACCCTGTAAATAGAATTTGTGATGACTTTGCTGAGACCTGTGAGAAATCTTTTCTGATGGTAGAAATAGATGAAGACTGTGAATGAAGCATTACAGTCTGACTTCTAGTTTGAGAATACTCTGTCCCTTGTTTCTTACCAGAGCCCAAGTTGCTCATTTTGTCAGGCATATGCTAAGCCAAAACTCAGATACCGAGGTTACTTATTCACTGCATATTTTCTGGGGCCAAAGGACATCCGGGATGTGTATTAAGGTTCTGACATCTGCAGTGAAAAAGTTGCCTTGTCTAGTTTTGTATAAAGCTAGCGGTACAATTTATTGACTGCTTTTCAGAGGGATAACTGTAAGATAGGAACTGCATTTGAGATTGCCAGTGAGTTGTATTGTAGATAAAATTAGCACATTTAATTCAATGGGGCAGTGATTCAAGGCTTAAAAGGCTTGGTTTGGTTTATCTCACTAGCTATAAGAGACACAATGATTACAGTAAGTGTATTAAAAGGAGCAGTAATAGCTGTAGGTGTTCCAGCTCTGATGTCTTGATAACGTTGGCGATGACTGGCTGTGAAGTGGCTGAGGCTGACCGACAGTCTGAGTTGATTTCCTGCATTTCCTATCGGCGGCCATCACTCCAGCTATCAGCGCCTGCCCTCTCTGGTTTAACTGATGCAGCCCTCAAGCCGGAGGAGCTCCTGTCTCAAGTTGTTTGAGCAGGGACCCACAGAAGAGGTCAAATGGATAATACTTGGACATACACACATGCAGTAATATCATTTTTGAGTTGCTATTTCATATATACTAAAATATTGTTCCTTCGTGAGTTAGAATACCCAACTGTCATTTCAGGTAAAGTGTACAGTACGGAACAAGAGTAAGGTTTATTTTATAGGCAAGGTCTAAAACATGGCATATCATGTCTTATTTAATCTGACTGTGCTGCTGCAACATTCCCTCTGTCATCTTCTCTCCTCCCCTCCCGTCTCCTTGTTTCTTTCTCTCTGTCTGCGCTTGGACAGAGGTGGCTTGTCTGCTGCATGGCTTAGCATACAGCCTGTGATCTTTTATGAATTTAGCATAAACCCTGCTGCTAAGCCAGGCGAAGACATTCACAAGAGAGGTTCACAGAAGAATATCAGAGCACTTGGCAAAATGTGAAATGAGGTGTTTTGTGGTTTGTTTGTTTTTTGCTTTGCTTTTCCAGACTACTTGGTCTGGTCTTGTGTCCCTACATTAAATAGTTCCTTGCTCCCCAAGTGTCCTCTGTTTACGTGAGTGCCCTGGAAAAACCCAGCCATAATAGGATTGGCATTCTAGCAGAGCTTTATTGGAGCTCAGAGACAACACATTAGAAGTTAGAGTTATGTCAGCACGTGTCCTCTTCCAGAATTACATCCCATGCAATTTTAAGCAGGAAGTTATTGCGAAAATATTGCAAAAAAATATTCTTTACAGTTTTTTGTGTATCACAATCATATTAGAGATGTAATGAAGGTAAATGACATATTTAAGAAGCTGAGGATCTTTGGAAAAGATCCTCTGCATGCTAACTAAGTAGGAAAGGGGGGGGGGGGTGAGGAGGGAGCTTTTTTGCAATAGGACAGTGGAAAGAAGACAGGAAAGCTAGGGGAAAGATATGCAGTAAATAGTAACAGGGTGGATTCAAACTTGGATCTCCATGTTAGGTAACTGGTAAACTAAACCAGCACCCCTGAAATTGCTAATGTTTGAAGTGTTTAATTAACATTTTGCTGATGACAACAGATGTAAAAATTCTGCTGATACAGATGCACTGTTTATGTTCATATATACTTGTACACATACACAGCAAAACCTATAATAATGCAGTCTCTGTGCTTAGTTTGCCTCATAAATGTCGGCATAGGCCACCCAACCCTTTCTGACATGCCTTGGTAAACCCCTGGTCCCATTACTATGCATTATGCATGGACCTATCTCTTAAGTCCCACAAAAGTAAAAGCTCCCCTTGAAAATAGAAGTTATACTGTCACAGGGTAACTTGTCACAGTGACATTTTAAATGTGCAGAAACATTTTGTTTCACAGTGTTAGAATTATAATGATAAAAAGAGCATCTTTTGGGCAGAGTCTCACCAACCTGCAAAACAGTTTCTAAATTGTAGAACAATTAATAATAAGGATACTGTTCCTCAAAATTGTAAAGACTTTGAATAGTTTACAGTATACAAATCTATTTGGGCAAGGAACAAGGCACAACATTAAAAACAAGCCTGACTCTGTCATGGAAATCACTGCATGGGCTCAGGAACACATCCAGAAATCTCCATCTGAGAACGTGGTTCACTGTGTCATCCGCAACTGTAGGTTAAAGCTCTGTCATGCAAAAAAGAAGCCATATGCGAGCATGATCCAGAAACACTGCTGTCTTCTCTGTGCCAGAACTCATTTAAAATGAACTGATGTAAAATGGAAAAATATTCTGTGGTCAGGTCAGATTAATCGAATTTTAAAAGTCTCTTTGGACGCTGTGTTCTCTAAGAGGACTAAAGAGGACAGATCAGTTCTCAAGCTTGCATCTGATGCCAGCCATCAATGCTGAAAGGTATATATATTGGTTTTAGAGCTGCATATTGTCTCTTCCCTCACAAGAAGAGGGGATGCTACACAGTTGGACTTTGGGTTGTAAAAACATTCAGGCAAAATTACTAACAGTGTTTTTTTAATGTTTGTCTTACAGAAAGAATGGCTTTGCCTCACCTGTCAAACTCAAAGAGCGATGTCAGGCCAGCTGGGAGATGTTTCACCATCATCCATGGCTTCCCCGAAGAAGCAGCCTCCTGGTCCTGTTCCCTCCTCCACACCTCCCCCTGCTGCTGTAGATAGCAAACCTGTAGTAGAACCAGCAGAGCCAACCCCACCAGCTTCTGAGACCAAGGTAGTCCCCACAACCCCCTCTGAATCAACACCTGATAGTGCACTAATTTCACCTAATCATAGTATTCCTCCTCCTGAGAACAGTTCACAATCAAAAGAACAAAACCAAACACTAGCAAGTGAGAATATTATTCTTTCTGAGAAAGACGTTCCTGTAGTAGAACCAGCAAACCTAACCCCACAAGCTTCTGAAACCAAAGTAGTGACCACAACCCCTACTGACTCCATGCCTGAGAGTGCACTGATTTCGCCTAATCATAGTATTCCTTCTCCTGAGAATGGTTTACACTCAAAAGAACAAAATCAAACACTAGCAGATGAGCATACTATTCACCGTGAGAAAGAGGTTCCAGTAGTAGAACCAGCAAACCTAACCCCACCAACTTCTGAGACCAAATTAGCACCCCCTGAGGCTGAGCTTGATAGTGCGGTAATTTCACCTAATCATAGCACTCCTCCTCCTGAGAACAGTTCGCATGACCCACCACAGACAACAGAACAACAAGAAGAAGATGAGAATGCCATCTACCCTGAGAAAGAAGTTCCTGTTTCAGAGAGTTTAGCTGATAGTACCCATGTAGCCCCACCAGCTGAGGAACAGCAAAACAGCTCTGAGAGAATAGCAGAGGATCCCCCTCAGCCAGGGAAAGAGCCATTTGATTCTGATCAACAAACTGTCGGTGAACTCCCAGCAGCTGAGCAACAACAGAGTAGCTCTGAGAAAGAATCAGAGGACCATCCTCATCCCTGTACAGAGATAGCTAATGATGAGCAACAAGCACAGAGTGCAACTGTCAGTGAAATCCCAGCAGTTGTGCAACATCAGAGTAGTTCTGAGAAACCCACAGAGGACCTTTCTCTCCCTGTGGAAGGTGAGACACAAAATCCATTGAGTAATGCAGGTTTAGACAAGACAACAGACCCTGCTGGGGCAGAAACTGAGCCAAATCCCGAGATTACGCAAAGTGAGGCTGCCGCTCCCCTGGCAGATAGTAAGAAAGTGGAACCCAGTCAAGAAAAGCATCCAGAAGTGACAACAAATGCAGCTGAGCCAAAGCCTGCTTTGATCCCTGAAGCAGTTAGACAGGAAACAGCTCCTGTTCAACCTGATACTACAGCTGCAAGTGTGAAAGAGGAGAAAACAACAGAGGTTTTAGCCAAGAAACCCCTGATAGGTGAACCACAAGTTACTCCAGCAGATCACACTCCACCTGACAGTGGAACAACACCTAATGTCAAGAGTGATGTTAGTGCAGAAGTAGAACCGAAAAACTCTGCGTCCCCTGTTGAACAAGTTGATGTCCTTGAACCTGATAAAGCTGATGAAGAATTAAAACAAAAACAGGCAGCAAGTGCAGAACCTGAAATTTCTTCTGCAGTATCAGAAAAGCATCCTGTCTCAGCTTCAGAGGGAAAAGGTCAGGCAAACGAAGTGAAAAATGAACAGTCAGAAAAAGATCAGGAGCCCACATTACTTGATCTGGCAGATAAATCCTCTCCTGTTGCTCAGTTTGAAGGAGAAACTAAAGCTGTGGAGAAATCAAATGAGGAGAACATCGCTGAAAATAAAGTTTCTCAGGAACTTAATAATGAGGTAGACACAACAGCGCAGAAAGCACCTGAGGGAGCTGATGAGGGAACATCAGTTGAGATTAAAACAAATGCATGTGTACCGATAACTACTGAGGTAAAACCAAATGACGAGGAAGTTGCTGAAGAAAAAGAAAATGAGGAGAATACAGTTCATAATGAAACTAACCAGAAACCTCTGGAACAGAATGTTACTAATACAGAAAATTCATCTCCTCTTCTCGACAAGAAGGAATCTGCAACGGGATTAGAGCCGGCTGCAACTGTTCCAGAGGAAATGCCAAAAGAAGAAATAGATATACAGAACAAGATAAAAGCAGGAACAAAGAATGAGCCAGCTGAGGAGAGCATTATTGAAACAGCATGCTTGTCAGAGAAGTCACAGGAGAAAGGAAAGACTGCGGTCGAAGAAGAGTGCACACCCGAAGCCACGGTGTTAAAATCAGATAATAAATCTGACAATGCAACGGTTATCTCTGTTCCACCACCCCCTGACTTCAAAGAGCCACAAATGGTCAATGAGGTGCCAGTGCAAAGTGTAGACAGCGCGTTATCCTCAGCTGTTACCAGTAAGACAAATGTCAGCGATCAAGCCAGTGAGGGGAACCTTTTCCAAGATGAGTCAGAGATGGGCTCACAAAAGACAAAGAGTATTGCTGAAAATCAACACGAAGCAGAGGAAGATACATCAGCTGTGACAGGCGGCGATGAGCAATTGTCAATCAAAGAGAAGAACGAAGCAGAATGTGACAAAAACGACGATGAGTCACAACCTGTTGCTGGCAACATGCAGACAACTATTTCAGTATCAGAGGCAAACGCAGTGTGCGACAAAGAAGGCACTGCAGAGTTTGATGTAGGCGAGGATGCAATATCAAAGAAGGATGAAGTATCAGAGACAGCTTTTGAAAATGGAGGTGTGCCTCTATCAGTATCTTCAGCTCCTGTCACAGAACCTGAAATCCCAGTTTCTGTAGTAAGTGAGCAGGACAGCAGCCCGAAGGAGGAAAACACTAACGTGGAGGAGGAAAAGGAGCCCCTTGAAAAACTCAATGATGAAGCCGAACTTTCTGAGGTGACCATAGTATTTAGCAGATGTAGAGGTAGATTAGAAAAAATGATCTTTCGGAACTGCTTGACCATTGCAAAAACAAAAAAACTTAAATAACTTAAATACAAAACAAGAATTTACAGTTGGAGGAAATGAAAAATTGTTCATTCCAGATGGGTTTTACTAGAGGTTGAATGAAGTATTGGTAGAACAATATATCCTACTGCTTCACCTTGCAATAAAATTATTGATAATCTTGGACCAAATATTAATAGTTCTTTAAAAACATGCTGCTACACTAAATAGATTCCTCCTCAGCTAATTTGATGTATCAGAGTTGCTTTTAATGACTTCTTGTTGTGCCAAATGAATGACAGATAGTGAAAGCAATATTACTCACATGTTAAAATAGAAGAAGCACAAATGAGGGAAATACAGTAGTAGACACTTCCAAAGAGCTAGTTAAATGAGCTGACATGTTATTACACACACATTGAAACACAATGAGTCATTACATTACAATACCATGATTATCTACTTCAAGTACACAAAGATATTAATTATAATAAAAATGCTCACTTAATTTTGTGCCAAATTAAACAATGTATGTCTAAATTGTTAAATATACAGTTTAATGTTTGGATTACTCATTAAGCATATGACATTCCTGAAAAGTGGAATAGTAAGAGCTGGATAATAGTTCAAGGTTTTGCTCTCATATGGTCATTGTCGAAAGTACCCCACACTAGTCATTCCTATTAACTCCTGAAATATATTTTAAATCTTCATTTTTCATTCCTGTCATTCCTAAATTCATATGAACTTGCATGTTGTGCTTATTTAAAACAACTGTCTTCGTAATTGTCAGAAATTAAGCATATATACTGAAAAAGTTTGTTTTTTTTATTCATCAGGTGAAAACAGTGGAGACCTTGAAAGAGCCTGGAATTAAAGAAGCAGCTGTCAAGGAAGGCAGCCCAACCAGTCCATCAGACCTAGCAAAGCTAGAAAGCACTGTCCTGCCCATCCTTGAGGCCCAGGCAACCACACAAGAAGAGGAGAAAAAAACAGACACTCTAAAGGCCAGGCGTAAATTAGAAGTGCTTCCTCTCTCACCTGACTCTCCTAGCTCAGAAGAGGACAGAGTGGTTTCTGATAAGAACGGCAATGGTACCACAAAGAAAAAGCTCCTTGTGCCCATGGATGTCAAGGCAGATTCCCTGGACGATAGCAGTGAAAGCTTTGGAAAAGAAAGCCCTATGTCAGGAGATGATGAAGAATTTATCCGAAAACAGATAATGGAAATGAGTGAGAATGAAGATGCTTCACAATCTGATGAGGAAAACCTAGTTCGGCGAAAGATCAGAGAGGACGAGAAGAAACAAAAGGAACAAAAGAAAACAGAAACTGTAGAGAAGGGCACGACAGGGAAAGTCAGACGGCTTACCAAGAAAAGCACCATAAGCCCAGATGATGAAGATAAGGAATTTGGTACTTTAGTGGATAAACATGATATAAACAAAGATATGGAAGCAGAAACAAAAGAAGGGAAGCAACAAAGTGGTACTGCAGTTCGCAAATTCCAAACTATGGAGCTGAATACAACTAGCAGCCCTGTGTCTATACCCAATGATGATGGAGAGCCTGAAATGGAAAGCCTGACAGATTCTCCAGATGATCGGTCTAGAGGTGAGGGGTCTTCCAGTCTACATGCGTCCAGCTTCACTCCTGGAACTTCCCCAACATCCCTCTCATCACTGGATGAAGACAGTGATAGCAGTAGTCCGAGCCATATCCGCAGTGGTGAAGGTAAACAGCACAGGAAAGCCAAACACAGACAACCTGGTCAAATGCTGCCAACTATCGAAGACTCTTCTGAGGAAGAAGAGTTACGGGAAGAGGAGGAGCTGCTCAGGGAGCAAGAAAAACAGAAGGGCTCAGGGAAAAAATCCAAAAAAGATAAAGATGAGATTCGAGCCCAGAGGAGGCGAGAGCATCAAAAGACACCGCCAAGCAACCTTTCCCCTATTGAAGATGCCTCACCAACTGAAGAGCAGAGGCAGGAAGCTGAAATGGAGGAGATTAGACGATCATCTTGCTCAGACTTTTCACCCAGTATTGAATCAGATCCTGAAGGATTGGAAATCCATGCTGCAAAGATTGCGGCAGTCCAGAAAACCTATCAGCTGCCCATGTCTGTATCTCTTCACTCCCCAACAGATGATCAAAATGTTGATAAACCACAGAAAAAACCTCTCAGATCTGCTGATGAAGCCTATGAGGAGATAATGCTGAGGGCCAAGTCTCCAACAGCTGACAAAGGTGAAATTCAGCCAGAAAAAGAGTCCCTATATGGAGGCATGCTCATCGAAGATTATGCATATGCATCTCTTATTGACAATTCGACAGCTGATCTCGAGGACACAGAGAAGATTACTGTTCCCACTCAGCCCAAAAAGCTGCGATCGCCAGATGAAGTTTATGAAGACATGATAAAGAAAAGAAAGGAATTCATGCAGCTAGAGCAGGAATACCAAAATATGCAGGCAAAAAAGGAAAGCACTAACCCAGAAATTGTGCTGCAGCCTGCTGATATTACTGTTTCCAAAAGCAGTACAATAACATTAGACATGGATGGGAAGCCATTGTTGGATGCTGAAACTGCCTATGAAGAGCTAATGAAAAGAGTCCTGACTCCTGGAACAAGTCCAACTCAGCATGAGCCAAAAGTAGAAGCCACTGCATCTAGAAAGGCACTCCACCCTATTCCAGACTTAAAAGTAACGCAGTGCTCTTCAGGAGAGTTATCTTCTGATGATGAAATTATACCTAAAAAGGAAGTGGAGAAAAATCCTGTATCAGATGTCCCATCAGCAATGGAAACTGAGCCTGTGAAAGAAACGTTTCCATCACCCACATCAGATCAGCAACCTGAAACCACAATCCTAGCAACCCAAGGTGATATTGTGGACTTGACTAGTGCATCTACAAAAACATCAGCTCCTGTGATTGCCAGTGTATCACCCTTGCCTACAGTCCCCCAGTATACACCTGGTATACCAAGTGTAGTATCAACTGCCCCACCTGTGCCCCCGAAGCCAACTGTCCTGCGTAGGGCTAATTCTCAGGAAAAAACAGAAGAACCTGTTGCACCGCCGCTCCCTCCTCCCACTCCTCCAAAACCTACTGTTTTTCCCAGGAAAGCTCCAGTTCCACTTCCACCTCAGGCTTCAGCAGCTCCAGTAAGGCAAGAGACAGTGACTATGACTACAGCTCAAGCATCACCTACAAGACAAGTAGTTACTCCAACATACAAACCTCATGTTCCCCCTCCTGTACCCCCAAAGCCATCCATCCCCGTTGGAATTGGGGATAGCCACAAACCAGGACATGGTGTTAAACCACCAATTGCACCAAAGCCTGGCTCACAGCCTTCATCACCTGCCCATGCCCCACATCCACAAAGACCCTCTGTACTTCCCACAGGTCCTAGTGACATAGCCCTTAATCTAAGCCCCACTTCTGAAAGCAAATTGTTTCAACCATCACCAAAGTCTCCTTCTTCTCCAAGATATGCCAGCAATCTTCGTGACACATATGTGGTCATCACTCTGCCATCTCAGCCTAGCTCTCCTGTAGATAGTGTTACCACTCATGCTCCCTCTAGCCCTGGTCCAGCATCTCCTTCATGGCAAGCTCAGCCTGAGACATACCACCATCAGCAGCCTCAACCTCAACCATATTCACAGCAGCAGCAGCAGCAGCAACAAACACCTCCTCAAACAACCAGGGTGCCTCTGGCATATACACGAGTCACAGAATCCATTGAAAGTCAAGAAATTTGTGGCCCTGAAAAACATGTATCTAGCTCTTGTCATATAATTGAGGCTATATCAGCCTCAGCACAGCCACCTGTGGTGATGCCCAACCTCATCTCTCAAGTGGTTACCACAGAAGTCCAAAGGACCACTGTCTCTGTTGTTCATGAAAGGACACCACCACCAGTGCCAGCTCCAAGGGCAAATGGTCTCCCAATATCAATGCAGAAGCCTATGCCCCAGTTGCCAGCACAGAATGGACAGGCTATTCAACCTTCTGAGGTGGTAGATCTTAGGACTATGAAAGTGGATCCAGAATCAACCACACGTGGTGTGGATCTGTCTGCTGGTCCAGACTCAAGACATCAGTCCCTTACGACTGATGTCAGTCGTCACAGCAGTGCAGTGCAGTCCCCTGTGGTCAACCTCAGTGCTGAATCATCTACAGTTTCTATAGTAACTGATAGCATTACCATCGTGACCTGTGCTGCCACAATCCAGCGACGCGACAACTTGGACACCTCTTTGACCTCTTCAGTACCCCTTCAGCTAACAAAAAACAAATCATTTGAACCCGTTTCTCAAATTATTTATCGACCAATTGATTCTCAGCCGTCTACTCATGCTACTGCTGAGATCCCTATTAATCTCTCAGTTGGATCTAGTACGAGTGGAGGAACACTCCAGGCCACCCCTGTAACAATTGCACCCGCTTCTGTTGCAAGTTGTATTGCTAATGGATTAACTAATGGCACAACCACAGTGTCAGGAGCTGTTGACCTTAGCACAAATAAACCATTCAACACTGTGGTTTCAGTGGATGCTGCGTCTACCGAAGTGGTTACAGCTGTAATCACAGACGATGGCAAACCAGTGGATCTGACTGCAGGGAAAAGAGCTGTATGTTGTGATGTTGTGTACAAGCTTCCATTTGCAGGAAGTTGTGCAACTCACCAACCTACCACACCCTTGCCTGAAGATCGCTTTGGATATCGTGACGACCACTATCAGTATGACAGGTCGCCTTATGGCATGAGAGGGTTTGGTGGAATTAAACCTTCTATGTCAGATACTAACCTAGCAGAGGCTGGTCTCTTCATTTACAAGAGTAAAAACAGCTATAATTTCAGTGGCACAACTGAAGGTGCAGTAGATCTTACCTCAGCAAAGATTTCTGATGCAGGTCAGTGCAGTGACATTGCAGACCTGTCACTTAAATGTCACTTTGAACTGCTTCCACTTATTCATGGCTAATGTGGAAATAATGGCTACTTTTTGTTTTTATTTTGTTTTGCATGGACATTTTTTCTTTTTTTTTTTTAATCATTTTTTTTGTTTTACCATTATATTTTTTGCATGTACCTGCATGCTGTTACTTTGTTGAACCTCATTGGAGTTTTTTTTTTGTCTTCCACCTTTTTTCATTATTTGAACAAGGCATGGCTTGCTGCAACAATTAATAATTCTGTAATACTGGGACTGAAATGATATCTTTGACTTTTGACAGGTGAAGCTGTTGACTACTCCAAGAAAGGAACTTACGCTGGAATGACAATTCCTCCCTATTCTCAAGATAGAGTCACAAGTGCTGTTGGCACACTCTTTGGTACAAGCAGTGTTTTGAGATCATCAAATGGAGTGGTTTATTCCTCTGTTGCAGCCCCAGTCCCATCTACATATGCCATTACCACCCAGCCAGGGTCCATATTTAGTACAGCATACAACACCTTGTCAGGTATGCATACCAGCGACACCATGCCTTCTCTTTCCAACCTCCAGAACCTACCACTTACTCGATCCCACAGTTTTCTATCCACCATCTCTACTACTGCAACAGAAGAACAAGCAGATGCTCCACTCAATCTAGAGATATCTAGAGGAGGCACTACTGCTGGTGATGCTGCAACTACTGCAGCAACTTCTTTATCTCTTGACACCTATACTGATGCATCTCTGGAGGCTATAGCTGCTTCACTGGAAGCGCTTTCTTCACCCATGGTTCCTGGAGACAGCCAGTATCAGGCAGAGCGCGAGAGACTAGAAATGGAAAAACTCAAGCAACAGCGCCTGGCTGAGGAATTAGAATGGGAACGGCAGGAAATTCAGCGGTTCCGAGAACACGAACAACTCATGGTGCAAAAGGAACTGGAGGAGCTGCAGGCCATGAAACAGCAGATACTTGCCCAGCAAGAAGAGGAAAGACAGGCTCACCTTATAATGCAGAAAGAAACTTACGCTCAGCAGCAGCAGCAGCTTGAGCAGATTCAGAGACTCCAAGAGCAGCTCCGTCTGCAACTGGAAGAGCAAAAGCTTCGTCAGATGTACCCAGGTGGGGACATACAAGAGGCAGTTGTCTTAGGACCTGATGGCACTGTACTGGCCCGAAAGATCACAGATAGTGGGTGCCAGACAGATGAAGAGGATGAAGCAGTCAGCAAAGCTTACACAGCAGGTAGAAAAAAGAGAACTGCTAAAAAGAGCGTTGACAGTTGTGTGCAGACTGATGATGAGGATCAAGATGAATGGGAGGCTCAGAACAGAAGCAGACAAAGCCGTCCACGTACTGCCAGAGGTGATAGGGGTGGGCAGTCTGAGATGTCTCTTCAAGCCCACACTGAGATTTCTATACAAACTGATACAGATGGGAACATTAGAATGGATACCAGAATGGAGCTTTCAGATTCTGAAAGGACCTCACCAAAGAAACGACCTACCCCCTTAGAAATAGGGCAGTCTGCTAACCTCAAAGCTGATTCTTCTACTCTTCAGGCCCCTCCTAAATCCCCCAAAGTGCTCTATTCCCCTGTATCCCCTTGTATCTCACCAAGCAAATCCCTTGAGTTTGTGTCTTATGATAAATCCCTTGGTGATACAAGCCCACAAAACCTAAGAGGAAGTCCTGATCCATCAAAAGCCTCTCCAGCCAGTCCCAGAGGACAGAAATCCATGCAGAGATCTATGTCTGATCCTAAGCCCATGAGTCCAACAGGAGAAGAAAGAGCAACATCTGGAACCCAGTATGGTGAAGGCTATACTGTAAGTACTACCATCGTAATTGACATAAATCCAGGAAGCAAAACCACAAGCCAAAAATATGAATTTATTTTAACTTTCAGATGGTGTGATCTGTGTTTAAACTTTTCTTTTGGTTGATTAATTTTGACATTTCTGGAGAGTTATCTTCAGCTTAATCCCATTTCTAGGTAAAATATCATGGAGTATTGTAGTCAGTTTTCTGCCTGGGCAATTCACCACTGAGAATCTCATACGTACATAAACAGTTGGAAATAAGCTGAGGTTGCAGGAAACACTAAGCTGTCAGAGATCCATCAAGGGTTTGTGAATAAATTATTTCTTGTGCAACAGTAGTGTGGAATATTTATGGGCAGAAATACATATGTTACTGTTACCTAGAAAAAAGATAATCAACAATTTGTCTTTCAATCACTCTACTACAATACATCCTTATAGAGGAAGACTATCAAACAACTTAAATTTATACAGTTTGCTCTGTTTTAATTACTCATAAAATGTAGCAGTTATCACTAATTAATTTATCTGAGTAACATATTGTTTATGAAGCTGAAGGCTCCTTAAACAATTATTTTGGGAACTAAACTACTTTTACAACACTTTTTTTCCTACAGGGCATAGGCTCAGGTGGTACACCAACAGGGACTCAAAAGAAGGTGAAGAGGACTCTCCCAAATCCTCCATCAGAGGATGAGTCAACAACCACTGGACAGACAGCATATAGCACTGGCTCAGCCCGTCGAAGAATGTGCCGTAATTCCAACATGGCACGCGCCAAGATCCTACAAGACATTGATCGAGAGCTAGATCTGGTGGAGCGCGAGTCTTCCAAGCTCCGCAAAAGACAAGCAGAATTAGATGAGGAGGAGAAAGAGATAGATGCAAAGCTAAGATACTTGGAGATGGGCATTAATCGTAGAAAGGACGCACTGCTTAAAGAAAGAGAGAAGAGGGAAAGGGCCTACTTGCAGAGTGTTGCAGAGGACAGAGACTACATGTCAGACAGTGAGGTTAGCAACATCCGAGAGACTAGAGGAGGTGGTGAGGATGAGGAGATTGAAAGTCATGGTCTTGAACGTCCCAGGACAGCTCCTCAGTCAGAATTGGATGACTTTGTCCCACCACAAACCAAGCACGAGTATGGAAAATACTCTCAGTACCAATACGCTCAAAGTCAATTTCAGCAGTCTCTCTACCAGACACCTCAGTCCTACCAGTCTCATTCAATCTACTCCTCTGTCCCTTCGCTCACTACCTCCCAGCAGCAGAGTTACCACCAAATGCTTTTGTTGCAGCAGAAAGCTGCGAGACAAGCAGCCCTACTCTCAGAGCTCGATGCAACGAAATATGATGTCATTAGCCGTCAGCCTGATCCCACTTCATCAGCTTACCTTGGTGTTAAGTATGACAAATATGGGAATCATCTTGATCTCAGAGCCTTAGAAGTGGGAAGTATAGCAGGTAGCCCAATGTCAGCTGTCTCTGATTCCTACTACACAGATGTAGATCACCACACACCTCGGAGTTACATGCTGCTGGAAGATGCTGCAGAACTAGCTAAAGGCTCCACAGGTCTGTCCTCATCTTATAGTCTGGCTGAGAGGGAGCTGGCAAAGGCAGAGAAACTGCTTCGTAGGAGTGCTGCTGATCTGGGGTCTACTGACTATTTGGGATCCACGTCCAGACTTCATACCTTTGGAAAGACCCCTGACGAAGAGGATACCATGGAGGAACCCTATGAACTGAAACTTTTAAAGCAGCAGCTTAAGCAAGAGTTTAGGAGAAGTACAGGTGGGACTGAAAACTTAGAACAATTGACAGGTCTCTCACAGCACTACTATACACCAAGCTCTAGCATCTCTGGTTACTCTCAGAGACACTATCCAAAGTCAGAAAAGTATAGCATCAGTCGACTTACTCTTGAGAAGCAGGCAGCTAAACAACTCCCAGCATCTATGTTGTACCAAAAACATAAGACACCACTACTAGATCCTAAAATCTCCTCCAAGTATTCCTCTATTACAGACAGTAGAGGTTTAGAGACTGACTATACTAGCTATTTGGGGTCCACCAGTGCATCCCCAAGATCCAGCCGTCTCTTGCAAGATGAGATTACCTTTGGTCTTCGGAAGAATATTGCAGAGCAGCAAAAGTATTTAGGATCCACCCTGGGTGCTAACTTGGCTGGGTCACTTAACTTGAGTCAGAGCTTGGGTTTGGATTCTGCCTATCCTAGTGGTAGTCGTTCAAGACCATCCTCCAGGCCCACATCTTGCTATGGCCTGGACTTGTCTATCAAAAGAGACCCATCAAGCTCTTCACTCAGGCTGAAAGGAGATGGTGAAGCATCTGGAGACGGCCCAAATTATCAAACCCCATCTGGTCGCACCAAACCTACTAGCCTTCCCATTGTCCAAAGTGGGCGCGGCAGAATACCCATAGTGGCCCAGAATTCAGAAGAAGAGAGTCCACTGAGCCCTGTTGGGCAGCCTATGGGTATGGCCCGTGCATCAGCGGGACCTCTGCCTCCCATCTCAGCCGATTCAAGGGACCAATTTGGTTCTTGCCTTTCATTGCAAGACTCCCAGCAGCAGCAACATATCAGGGAAGAGCCAACAAGGGGTAGGAGTTATGTGCTGCTGGATGATCTTCAGGGCACCATGTCAGATAGCGAAGGTAAAAAACAGACTTGTTACACTGCCACTTCTTTCCTAATTAGTGTTTCATCATTAACACTTTTTGGTTATGGTTTGTCTTGCATGAATTTATTACTAAAGTGGGTAAAATATAGCTTGTGTTTCTTCATTCAGACTCAGCATGTCTTTTGAGGTGTTTTTGTTTTTCCTTTGCATTCTGTTGAATGTGTCTTCTTATTCCTTTCTAGTGCAAGTACATTTAATATTGAGTTCCTTTGTGCATGCAAATCATTTGTAAACTTTTCTGTTTCCTATAGACTTGAATGTATCTTTATGTATACACTGTTTTCTATTTTCTGTTCTATTCTCATCCCAATTATTGTGTAACATCTTCCTATATGAGTTCACTGCACTGTACAGTCTGACATCCTGTTTCAGATACATGAAAGGCGTCCCCCAAGAAATACAACTTTAAAACTCAACATGATGTCACACGTAGCTGTTGAAATGCTTGAAGTATTTTAAATCCTTCTAATTAAGCATTTAGACGACAGTAGTATATTGATCCTTTAAAATAGATCACATAGAGAAAATGTTTTCACTGTAAATGATGCAATGAAAAAAGTGCCTTTGCCACTCAAAAAGTTAGAGTTCTGTCAGTTTCAGTCAATTTCTCTTAAGCATAATAGTGTCCTGTCTGCATTTTCATAGACAGTAATATACAAATATATATTTTTGGATTATTGATGTGCAATGTGAATACAGGATATTTACTTAGTTATTCCATGATTGCATTTAACTTTCTACTAGTACCCAGTAAGACTAAACTATAGGAAGATTTAAAATGTTTTTTTTGTTTTGTTTTGTTTCATTTTGTTTGAAATGCATGATATTTCTTTGCAATACTTCTGTGTTAATAAATATAAAACTTTTACATGCATGTCTTGTCTTAAATATCTGCTTTTGTGCACTGTGATACATGAGTGATTTTATGCTGCATGAAATGCATGCATGCCTCCTTCATGTAAGAAGATCACCGAAAATCTGATCATTTGATTAACTTCTGTTAAGCAAACATAGTTCATTATTTTTGCTGCAGCTTCTATAGCTGAAAGCAAATGAGCTGTCATACATATGAGGACAGTGTTTTTTTCCAAAACAGTGGTTCAAAAGCACTATTACAACAGGAAAGGGGAAAAAACATTATTGTTGCCAGCACTTGCTGTCGTGATGGAAGTGGTTCGCAATAAATCATGTGTTTCAAAAACGACTTCTATAAAGCAGCTCTAGAACTTCTAAACTTTAAGCTGAGGACAATGTATTACTAAAACAGGATGCAAAATGGGCTGTCATTAAGTGCAAACTACATTCATATTAACATTTCCTATCTTTTTGTTTCATATGCTTAAAGATGCCATGTCTGAGTTGTCTTGAATGCAGTTTAATTATTTACCTATTGATTCATATGGATCCCAATATTTTATTCATACTTTATAATACATTAAACCCGTTTGCCTTGATTGCAGCCCTAAGTGATTCCCTGATGGCTTTGAACAGAGACGATGCAACCAATGGTAGAGTATTAGTTCAGTTCTCTACGCTAATATATTAACTTGCACCACAAATAAAATGCATATCAACAAAATGGTGTCTAAATGTTGGGGAGGTTTAAGACATTTCAAATTTGGTAATACAAACAATACTTATATTGGAAATTTAAAACAAATTTAAATGATTTTACATTTTTTACAGTTTTCATAAGATTCATCACACACTTGTTGGGGAGGAGACTCATTCACCTTCCTAACAACTGGAGAAAAATTGTAGAAATATACCCAACATTTACATCTATCGACAAGTATGGCAAGATAGATTTAGTTTATGCTACTGTGTTGTACTAATAGTGCTTTAATCGTTCTCAATCTGCCTTATTTTCTGTGCATACATATGGAATTGTTTTGGTTTTTGGCATCGTTTTCCTACTTTGCAAAAAGTGTAACAGATTAAACTTCTGTTTGGCTCATATTTTTTCCTCATATTTTTTGCAACCTAACAACTAATATGTAGACGTTTTTTCAATGGCATGTAATCACCTTTAAATGACCTGATAACCATCCTCTGTAAGTGGATGGAAAAGTCCAGATTCTCAGATTGGTTTTGAAGCTGTGCTTGTTTTTATCCCTGAAGCCTACCACCTTAGACGGGAAGAGACAGATTGGTTTGACAAACCGAGAGATGGGCGGTCGGAGAACGGACAGGAGAAGAGACAGGTGAAAGAGGAAAAAACACACATACACTGTAGTAAAGTTCTCAAAGTGTCATCTATGAAATACCAAGCTGCATGCATCCACATGGAATCATCTTGATATATATAAATATATATATAAATATGTTGCATGAATGGTGTATGGTTTTTGTATAGTAGCACAAGGCACTTAACGTCTTACCATTGTGTATGGGCCATAGGGAAAAGGTCCATACTACCCCTTCCCTCACCTCAGGGTCAAACTGCAGAGGGATCCTAAAGACCGCAGTGTCTCAGGTAAAGTAACACAGTTTACAGGAGCATCATGTTAATGGTAGAGTGACTGACTATACAGTCAGAAAGGCATGTATGTTCATGTGTTATTGACTGTTGTACAGTCAGTTAGGACTGCATCAAATATAATTAGGAATAAGAATGTTATAAAATAAATGAAATAAAAATATTTACAAAGGATAGACAACAAAATATGCATAACAAAATATAGACATTAACCTAGATCTTTTTGGGTTTACAGAGCATGACTAGTTAGCTTAATGCATATTACTTAATATTCCAGCCAAATCTCAGCAAACTAGCAGGTCACTTTGTTAGCCTATATGTTGCATCACACAACTCTTCCAGGCTCAAAGCAGCCCAGCATTTCATTTCCTGGCTTCCCTTTCGATTTGGCTCTCCTCCACGCTCATCAGTCATTGCCATGCTCAAAATGGCGTATCCCTCACACTCAGGATTATCTTATGCAATTAACAAGCAGCCCAGAAAGGAAGCGTTTTGTTTACTAGCGCCCGGTGCTGAACTGAATCATTTTGCTGCAATGTTTTTGTTCTGGCTTCAATAACCATAAAAAATGGTTTCATGGTTCAAAATTAGTAAGGTTTCTGTTTTTGCGTAATTGAAAGCCTCTTTATGTAGGCTGAGAAAATCAATACAAGGGTAGTGGTTTAATCTAGTTAACAGTGTACTGTGTGTAGACAGTGTGCTGCCTACATATGACCTAAACTGCTGCTGGACACAGAAAATCTGCAAACAAAATGATGCACACATTTCTTTAAGACTGTGATTTAAATTAACATATCAATTTAAGCTATTAAGCTTTACCTGGAGTTTAGCTGGGTTTTCTCATCAGTTTTGGATTAAGCATCTAGTAATTTAAGTTTCAGAGACTGCATCAAAGTGCATATATTTCAGTCAAAAGTTTACAGCTAGCCAAAACCAGCAAGTATGCTATAATGAGCTTTAGCTTTAGCTATGGCTAGCTCCCTAGCTTAATTCCCACTCCCACGATATCTAAACCCATAACTTTTAGCTACATTTTACCTGCTTATCTCTGAAAAATTATTGTATTTTTAGTAAATAACTTACATGTTTAATTTGATACAAAATATCAAATTACAGGCTTAATTCTATTTTGACCATAGACAGTATAAAAGATGGCCACAGCTACGTCACCTCTTGGTTTGTGAAGTCTCCTTAGGAGCCTCAAGATGAGGATTTTCACCATGTTGGTCTCAAAACTTAGAGGTTTTGAGAAAGGGGCACGTCTGGCTGTGAAACTGCATGCTCATTGGGCGTTGACTCGTGAATCACAAGTAGTTAGCCAATGAGCTTATTTCTAATAATCCTCAGTTCTGGACCATGGTATGACAAGGGTTTAGAAAATGGACCTAATGCTTTATTAAATATGGTCTAAAACAGCGATCCCCAACCTTTTTTGCACCACGGACCGGTTTGTGCCCGACAATATTTTCACGGACCGGCCTTTAAGGTGTCGCGGATAAATACAACAAAATAAAACTAGTACCGGTACCGAAAAAAAGAAGATTTATTCATAACACACGTGAAAAGACCCAGGAAAACCGAGTTAACGAAAAAACGATAACAAAATAACACTAAAAACTGATAAAAACCCTGAAAATCATACATTTCACACCCGAGTCTCACTCTCACGGCCCGGTACCAAATGACTCACGTACCGGTCCGTGGCCCGGGGGTTGGGGACCGCTGGTCTAAAACAAGCGACTGAGACTCAAAACTGACTCAAACTCAAAAGCACTTTTCCATTTTTTGAAACCATAGGCATTGCCCCCTTGTGGCCATTAAAAAGAATTCAGGTCATGTCTTTTATACAGTCTTTATTTTGTCTGACTCTGTAGTCAGTGTATTTGGCTTTCTACATAATAGTCACACTTTTATGTTATTTGACGAGTTTTTTTTTGTGTACAGTCATACAAAAGAAATCATATATTGAATTATAAATGTTGTAGACTGTGGGCTACTTCTACCATAAACACTCACCAGTCTTTCTTTTGGGGCATTAACAGGAAATGGTCTGGGTATCCGAGTGGTCGGAGGAAAAGAGGTCCCTGGTAGTAATGGAGACATTGGAGCATATGTTGCCAAAGTGTTACCTGGTGGAGCGGCAGAACAAACAGGAAAGATTCTTGAAGGTAAGCTCTTTCATCTAATTAAATCTCTTATTGTGAAAATTAAGTAGAGTAAATGGAGTGTAACTACAATGTGACTGATAACTCACTAGTCTTCTGCCATACAGTTAAGGGGTGCCATAAGGTATTGTGCGATACAAAATTAAGATACAAAATGTTTCAGTCTTCTCATATAAAATTCAACAAGCATGCCAAACAAACTTTTTCTTCACGCGTGTAATTTGGGTGCATTTACATCTTTGGTCGTTCGCAGCTGACAGACTGAAAGAATCGAACATGTAGTTGGAGTGAGAGAAACAGGGAGATTACAAAAATAGGTCTTCATTTGCATTTAGCTTTATCACCTGCAGGCGACGGGCCATGACTCACATTTGGTCATGAGAGATGAGAACCAAAAACAAGAAGCTTATGGGTGTTGAGTGTTTAAACCAGCAGTTATATTTGTATCATTTTATTATCATTTTTCACCTTTTGACTAATTGGAATGGAGATAGAACCTAATGGCTGTGTCATGATAGCAGAGTTATTTTCTTAACAAATCTATTGTATTATTTGATGACTGTTCTAAAATACAAATCATTATATTATAGTTCTTAACCCACAGATATGGCCTTTTTTTTAACAATAAATTGCTTGTTTTGTGTGTAACAGGAACACATTATATTGATTTTTACATAGGGGAGTAATGAGATCAGTGAACTCCTAGTCATACTCACATGAAGGGTGTCACAAAATCAGTAAAGCTTGAGGTTGGACAGTTTAGACGTGTATAATCCATCTGCCTGTACTCTGAGGATGTGTTTATGTGCACTTGAGCATGACCACTCGCTGCTCTTGTTTACCTCTCCTCCTGTTTCCTTTTTATTGTAGTACATGGCTGCTTTATTTTGCTTTAACGCTCTCCACTTTTTTGTAAGCACGCTATAAAGGGTTCCAGAGAGAACAGTGCCATGAAAAGATAGAAATATGATACTGAAAGTTGTTCTTTAAGTCAAAGGCCAGAGGATTCAACAACATCCTACAGAACAATTGTGTCACGCATTTTATTCTAACACAGAGAAAAAACTAAAACTGTTAGCGGCTGCTGTAGTCCAAGAGTCAAGGTACATCTGTGGTGCCGTTAGCCAGACACCTCAACCATAATAACACCCGTAACCCTGTCATCAACACCGAGCAGAATGGCTGCAAATTACTTCAGTTCTGCCAGTGGGAACACGATGCCTCACTCTGTCTGGTGCGAATATGGAGAAACGTTGTCAGATTCAACAGGGGTAGAGGCTCTGTGTCTCAGAAGGAGTGTGTGTGTATGAATGGGTGCTTGTTTGATCGTTGGAATTCAACCTCCAAAAGCTACTATATACAGTTCAAGGGTGTTGATGAATAATACCAGTGTGGGAATACAGTGTACTCTAGCTTTCCTGTCACATATGCACGCAGCTCGAGAGTACCGTCGAAAACAGAGGACCTTCCTGATGAGCTGTTTCAATCCGTGTAAGTCCTGCCAGCGTGCAGGGTGTGTTTTGGAGCATGCGGTGGGTTTGCTGTGCTGAGTGGAATATCACTGCGCTATTTTATATATAGAAATGATCAGCCTGTCCTGGGAAACATCTGTCACTGCTAAAGCAGGTTGGAGAAAAGTGTATTTGATTGTAAATGATATATTTTTAAGATTAAACAGACCCTTTTACTCTGCTTGCTCTTAACTAATAACTAATGACTAAAATGAATGGATTGATTTTTTTAATCATTTGATTGTTTTATGAGATAGGTTTTGATTCCTTTTTTTATTTAGAGGGATGCGTCTGTACAGCACTGGATGTGGGAAAATACAGGATCAATATTGATTGCTCTTCTGGGTGTGCAAATCGTATATAGGAATGCAGGTCCTGGAGTGGAATGGTGTTCTTTTGACGGGGAAAACCTATGAAGAGGTACAAGGGCTCGTTGGACAGCCGTGTAATGAGGCAGAAGTGTGTGTCAGACTGTGAGTATAACCTGTGTCACTTGCAATCTTTCTCTTGTGCACTCTGTTCAACCCGCCATAGTGTCATTCTTGTCTTTTCTTTTCTTTATATTTAAGATGGATCATTTTAACCTCTTCATGACTTTAGTGTTGCCCCATGTCTAATATTTAAAAGCTAGTCTTAATCACTAGCTTTGCTGTCCTGTTTTTTAATTAACTATTGTCACATCATTTTTTTCTCCATTTCTGTGATGTTTTCGTGGCTTTTCTAGTACCTTTTTTTGTCTTTTTTCCTTGTCATTTAATTCCTTTAGTTTCACTTTTCAGAAATGTATGAAATGTAATTTTTCCAACAGGGATCTCAACATGTTGGCAGAGTCTGAGGGTTCCCAGCACCTAGATTTCCAGGAGCACAGCAAAGGTAAGTTGTTACCTAATTATTTTTATTATAATTTCAACTGGAACTGATTCCACTGATTCCTCCTCACTCCTGTTCCTCTGTCCTCAATTTTTCCCTATTAACTTTTGTCTCTTGTTATTTTCAGATGCTCTTCTCATATTCTTCTTCTTTTTATCTTCAGCTCTCTTTTTTCTCTCAAGTTGAGCCATGTTTTTTTTTTCTGTGGCCTAGTTCCTCAGTCTGTTACACAGAACAGTTCTGGAAACATGCGATTGTTTTCACAGAGCTGTCTCTATTGTGGCACTTTAATATTCACTTTTCTTTTCCATTGAATTTGACTTGGAAGTGAATTGGGTTAAGAGCCATAGTGATGATTCATTTGGTCCCTAGACAGATCATTGTCAAGATCCTTTGGTTTGTTATGTGCAGCGATGATGATCTGTACTCATAGCCATATGTGTTAACTTTCTAGGTGACAGACCTCCCAGATCTCCAGGTGTTGATCCCAAGCAGCTAGCGGCCGAGCTGCAGAAAGTGTCACAGCAGCAGGCTCCACTGTCCACCTCCTCCTCCAGCCTGCCTGCCACCACTTCAGCAACCTCCAGCCCCGGTCAGCCAGGATCCCCCTCAGTCAGCAAGAAACGTCACAGCAGCAAGGCGAGTTTAGAGGCACGCTATCAATCACATTCTTTACGTTTTAGGCAGCCAAGCAAACATGTCAACCCCAGCCACAATCCACAGATACCGTAGAGCATGCTATTCACACAGGCTTTTTTAGCTTACCCACAGTTGCTGCAAATCTGCAAGCTGCTTTGCAACCAACCTTCGCCCCAGCTCCTCCTTTTCTCCTTTGCTGTTTCTGACTCTGTGTCACAACCTTTGATATTGATGCTTGCTCTACTCATGTAAATCCATGGAGATGGAAGTACATGGTCTTCTTTTGACTATAGCAGTCCTAGCTGCACTGTAAGCACCATTAAGATTGCAATATTGAGTTTCTGGGAAAGTTTATTTTGAAGCTATGCCTCTGTCTGCAGAGAGTTTCTGAAGAGCTCTTCTAAACTTTGTTTTAACGTTTGCTAGTAGTTTTCTTTGATTTCATAAGAGATATATCTACCTCTAACTCAATATGAATTTAAGATGTGTATAATATAATTATTTATTAGTTAAAATTAGGTAACAGTATATGTCTTTTTTAAAGGATGTCAATTATCTGAAGGGATCCCTGAATCAGATGCACAGATTCTATGATTTGGAGACTTCACAGTTTAGCCTAAAGTGCAGCATAAAGTACTGTACACCACCTTATAATCAGCTACCAGTACACACAAAAGTTCCACCTACACTTTTGCGTGTTTCACCATGTTGTTTTCATCTTTTACAGATTGCAGAGGGAACAAAGAGCCAATCCCACCCTGTATCCGGAGAGATACAGGTTTGTGACACAAAACTATTACTGTAAATCTGTAATCTGTGTAGATTTAATTCTAAGAGTATAGAATCTGAGTAGATGGATGTTATTTTTGCTAAAATTAGATAGATGCAAGACTAAAATGCAGCCAAATCTATTGTAATTCAGTTGTGTTTCTTTTTGCAGCTTCAAATCCACTATGACAAGCAGCTTGGCAACTTGATAGTTCACGTCCTGCAGGCCAGAAACCTTGCCCCGCGGGATAACAATGGCTACTCCGATCCATTCGTTAAAGTGTATCTCCTGCCAGGGAGAGGGTGAGTTAGTAGTGTTTAGACTGAAAGAACATGTTAAGGATTTCAGAGCTAGAACAAGTAATTAAGTATACAGATTTTCAGAAGCAGTAGCAGCATTCTAGCTAAGATCTTTTTTCCCATCTAGGCTACACAGACAGCCAGTCTGTTAAGCAGTAACTTAGTTTCCATTCATTTTAAAATCGATGTACAATTGATTTTGGCTTATCATGACATCATTCAATGTGCAACACATGGATGTTTCTGATATGAACTCCATAACGCCTATGTGCTACTATGCATAAGGTCGTCTTTTATTTTGACATAGTATAAGTCCAAAACTCAGCAGCCCATTTCTTTTGCTCCCGAATGGCATAAACATTATGTAAATATAATGAGGCACTTGAGTTGCCCCTGTTGATGTGTGTTCCTCTGTAGGTGTGAGTGCAGTCAAAATCAATAGCTCTCATATTTACTTGCAATACAATCCAGACTCCTGCTTAAGTCTACTGCTCCCTTTCCCGCTGTGATTGCACTGTAATGCAATTGACTCTCCCACCTTCTCTTCGGAATGAGATGAGGTCCCTCGAGAGAGTGTTTTTTGTTTTTTTCCAGGGATCATTTCAGATAAAAGTAATAATATACTGTATAGCTGTGGGGTTTTTAGCTGCCACTCTCACACGCCTTCGGGTTGACTCATGCACCGATGCCACTGTGAGTTATGAATGGGTTTGGGGCTATGCTAAAGAAACTGAGAGAATGGCAGCCACAAGCCCTACGGCCACTTTAAAGTGGTTATGGAAACATGCACACTTAAAGGCATGTGTGCACATACTCGTGTATACCCTGTGTGTGTATACATGGAATCTCACAGCTATCAATGCCAGCTGCAATCCATAGAGAGGCTTTTCAGTTGCATCGCAGGTCTTCTGGCAACTACGTGGGACAGCGTCTCAATACTGAGAAGCCAGAAAAAAAACAGTGGGTTTTATTTTGTTTTACGTAAAACAAATGTTGAGCCTTCAGCTCTTGCAGCAGAAACTTTAAGAAATAAATCAGACTGCGCGATCTGGCTCATGAGTGACAGATCTCCACTCCGGTTGCCACAAGATCTGTCACGTGACTTGGGAGTCCTCTCAGCACACATACATGCAGTCATGTACACACTATAGCAAAATTTCTTTCCACCACTGCAGCAGACCGCAGCTTCCTGTTCATGCCCCTTTCTAAAAGGCACACTTGACAAATCACACGCTAAACCTAAGCTAAGTGTAGACTCAATCTCCCCTCACAGTCCACAGACACTTTTTGACCCGCCCCCACCCTCCCTCTGACTATTGTTTCTGTATGTTGTTCTCTATATTTAATGCATGCTGGACCCCCTCAGTCAGGTCATGGTTGTCCAGAATGCCAGGTATGTGACTTGCCCACTTTGGCACTTTGGTTCTGTTTTGGTTGATAATTAGTTGTCACTTTGGTTAAGGCAAAAAAAGAGCAAGGTCAATTTCTCTCTGGAAGTTTATTGATAAAAGTCACTTAGTTCAGTCCTACTAACTCCCTTCAACCTGAATATATTTCCCTTAGTATCCATTATTTCATGATACTCTCTTTGGATGCCCCAGATATTATTATTTTACCATCTGTTTTCCTTACCACATATAAACTAATAGTCCCCTGTGTTGTTTTCAGAGTTAACTGTTGTCTTTTTCTGGTAGATGGTCTGTTTTTCCTTTCTAACCATCGTAGTTTGAAACCCTAACATCGGCCCCAATACCCTAGATTTTGACCCTGTTTTGTTATTAAAATCCCTCAGTAATATCCTACATTGTGCCCTGACATCATAATGTACCCTCAGTGCCCTGCATCCACATCCAGTGTACACTATTATTTTGCCCTACGGCCAATTCATACCATTGTTGTCCAGTATAGAGTAGATTGTCCCTGTCTTTTCCAACCTAACTCTTCCAAACTTACTCATATGCTACAGTCTGAACTCAAACCCTACACACTGCAAAAATATCCATGTCAACAAGTCATTTATTGATGCCCAGCATAACTTTTTCATGTGAAATATCTTAACTCAGAATAGGTTAAAAAAAAAAACCATTTGGTATACGGTCATTACGTTTGTTTTTGTCATTGGGACTATTGGTGCTTTTCTTCTTACTGGAGACCTGAAACATTTGTTCTTTCAATGCATCAAAATTCTGTGAAACTAAATGACTTGATGGGCATTGAAATGGACTTTTTTGCAGCACACCCTGACATCATACCCTGCTATCCATGCACATAGGCCCATACATTGTTACCATCCAAACAATGTGCATCACATTCATTCTTTTCCCTCTACTGTGACATTGTGCCCTACTCCAGTATCTTCTGCTCCCTGCAATGCGTAGGTTCACTGACACGCATGTTATTTGCATACATGTCGTTGACCAAGTGTGTGTTGCTGTGATGTGTTCCCCCCAGTGCTGAAAACAAGAGGAAGACCAAACACGCAGGCAAGACTATCAACCCTGAGTGGAACCAAACTGTCATCTATAAGAACATCCACCTGGAACAGGTACTGTGTGGTCAGAGACACTTGATTACACTAAAACAGTTTGAGCCTAGTTTGAGCCACTGAGCTGGGCCTCACTGTACTGTGGTGTTGGTGCTTTTTGGAGAATTATTAATTTAATTATCTGACAAATACAGTAATATGACTCACTTTGTGTAATTGGGATTAATCATACCAACAATGTTTCCAAAACTTTTGTCTCCCAGCTTTGATTCTGTGTCTTTGCAGTGCACATATACAGTATCTGTACCATTTTTTTTAACTGTATGCAACCTGCTAACCAAGCTTGCTAACATTAGCTGATAACTTTGCTCTTCACTCTCACATCCAGATATAATTAGAAAGAAAATAGAATCAACATATATTGCTTCCTTACATGCTGCTCTTTATACTCTAAATGGTTGGGTGGCGGTGCCTCTTTTATATACAGTCTATTATTCACGCATGGTATTGATATTACTGTCTTAATGCTAATATTTTGCTTTACTTAAATGTTTTAGGGTTTTTTCTAAGCAAACACAATTGCATCAGCATGATAATATCATAAGCTGGAGGTGTCTTCATCATGAGCTTGTTAGCATGCTCTGCCAAAGTACAGAGTAACAAAACCACTAGTATAGCTATAGACTCAAGCAACATGTAAACCGACACTATGAGCTCAGACACTCAAAAATGTTATTGTTATCTTACGCTGTTTTTTTTTAATGGCATTTTTCTATAACTCTGTAATAGTTCATATATGAATGGACAAATAAGAAAGCCCTCAACTGATTAATTTCCAGATTGAAAATAACAAAAAACTGCAGCACAATATATTGCTTTTTTTTTCTGCTTCTGTGCCAACCTGTCATCGTTGCCACTGGTTTTCAGCGGAGCAGATGGATGTATCGCTGAGATTTATTATATCTGTTTAGATCCCATTTTAGATTCAGTGAGCCTGTATCAATCACAGCAAAACTGCCAACTTCTGTCGCCGTTTCTATTCGTTTTTCAGCTGCTTGAAGGCGTGAAACTGCTTTAACTTTAGCTTTAAACTTGAAACTTTTTTATGAACTCTTCAACTGTGTGTACATTTTAGCTTAAGAAGAAGACTTTGGAGGTGAGCGTGTGGGACTATGACAAGGGCTCCTCTAATGATTTCTTGGGGGAGGTAAGCTCCTTTGATATTATATTTTATACATATATGAATCCATAAAGGTTTTCTATAACTTTTAAAAACTTTTCTATTTGCTTGTAGGTCCTTATTGATCTGTCCAACACTGTCCAGCTGGACAACATCCCGCGGTGGCTCCCTCTCAAGGAGCAGAGCGAGGGGGACCACCACAGACGCTCGCACTCAGGCCAGGGTCGTCACAGTTCTTCTAAACCCTCCTCACAGCACTCCTCCCCTAAAACCACTGGCTCCTCGCATGATAATCAGGATTCCCCAAAATCATCTGTCATCAAGAGTCGAAGCCATGGGATCTTTCCAGATCCGGCCAAGGGTAGGACACGATGTATTCCCCTCACCTCGACTTAATCACCATCTTCCCCTAACAACACTCTGCTGCTTCTCTGCTGTTTCCTCGTCTCTGTAGTCTGTTCTTCTTTATCCCTTTCTTTCTCTTTTTTGCTTTCTTCCTGTCACTGCTCTCTCTATTTCTACCTCTACCTCTGTCCATTTTCTCTTTACAGTCTTGTCTCCTTTATTACCGCCACCTTCCTCTAGTCATTTTTGCACCCATTCTAGCTTTCGCTTCATGCTTTTTGCTTTCTCGTGGTCTGTTTTCTTGGTTGCCATGATGTCACCCTGCTTAGAGGCCTTGCCTTAGCTTCCCTCTATCTTTCTCCTAACACAGAGGGCAACATGGCCGTGGAAGGCTTTGAATTCTAGTTAAAAAAGAACCTCAAAGTAACATCAAATTTAATGAGCATGATAGACTATAAGACACACTGGCTAGATTCAGTATCTCACTGGCCAGCAACTCAGCTCGTTGTGAGTGGTGCTCATCAGGTGACAACCACTAAGAAAAGCAAAAGGTAGCCTTTTTTTTGGTAATTTGGTGAATCTGGTTGTTTTAGACACACAGGTGCCCTCTATCGAGAAATCTCACAGTAGCCCTGGCACATCGAAGCCTTCCCCGTCCGAGGGCCAGAGCCAAAGCCACAGCCACGGACACAGCCAACACTCTCGCTCACACGGCGCTTCACGCTCCAGCAAAAGCGCAGCACGACAGCACCATCAGGAAAGCCTCAATGGAAGCAGAGGAGGCGCTGCCGTAGCAACGGGCGATGCCCAACAGCAGTCACAGCAGCAGCCGCCACAACGCCTCCAACCAAGTAAACCAAGACGCAAATAAAGCCTACGCAGCATGGCCTCCTCGCACTCATCTGTTCTACCTTTTGTTGAGTTTTTTTTTTTCCCGTTCCTTTATTTCCTTTTCCTTACTTAGTTTCCCCTCACTCCTCACACTCTGGTTCTCTTCAGCATTGTATCCACAGTGTGTCAACCTTTCATGGCTTCTCTTCTGTATGTATTCACAAGTGTCAGCAGCCAGCACCTCACCTGTAAGGTAGCACACTGTCTTTGACCCTTACTTATTTTGACCTCCTTCCAAATACGCATAATGCTAGCTAATAAGTATCCAGTTCTAACTATTTAAAATCCTATTAGTGTTAAAAAATATGTAATAAAGAGGCTTAAATGTACTTTAATGGAGTTAAACTTAAATATTAGCTTTCGTTTTGACTGACATTAGCTTTTAATTTTAAGATGACAGTGTAAACAGTAGTAAATAAATGAAACTGAAAAAAGCAGATTTGCACAAGATGTTCAAACGAGCTTGGCGATAATGTCAGAGCAGCTCGCTCTAATGATGAAAGATTACTGATAAAACAGTTTCGTAACAGAGGACAGTTCATCAGGAAAATAATTCTTCAGAATTCAGAAAATGACTTTTGTTGCCTGCTAGAACTTAAATCATTTCATTTAACTGATCTGACTTTAAAACCGAAGACAGTTGCAGTCCCCTCCCTTATATCATTTACCTATTTGGATTTTTACTTTGATTTTATTATTATTATTTATTTTTATTTTTTGAGTTCTGTATAATTTCCTTTTTTGTTAACAAACAACGACCAGCTTTTCTGAAGCTCCTCCACCGAGATGGCTGTGCATGCAGTCCGCTACACCCCCCCTCCCAACCCTTTTTTTTCTGTTTAAACAACTACCGGACCCACGATGCACCTCAGTAGATGCTGCACGCCCCACCCAATAGTGATGTGGGAGGGGCACTGCACACTGTGGCTGCATGTGATTGACAGTCAAGCTGGTTGCCATGATGAAGATAAACCGCTCTCTGAATCTCCATCTCGCTCCTCCCTCCTTCCAATTTGAATTCCGACACCATGACCTTTGTTTCCCGGCGTTGACCCCTTGACATCGTGCCTGTGAAACTAAACTCATCCAGGCCAAAGAGGCCGCCTCTCACTGAGGCACCAGAGACACAGCGTAGTGGGCGTGCTCACCATTCAGAGAGCCCAGTCTGACTGGCTGCCTGCCCTGCCATCGATTGTGTCGGCCAAAGGGAGCAGAGCAGACGGCAGACACCTGACCCTCAGGAAAGCCGTGTCAGAAGAGAGGCCGCAGAGCACCGGAGGTGAGAGTTTGCCCAAGAGTCTCCTCTCTGTCGTGTGACTGAAGCACAGATGGAGCAAGGAGAGAAAGAGAGAGTGAGAGAAAGAGAGGATGCAGTACTACTAACGCACACCTGCAGAAAGAAAGAGGGGAATATTCATAAAAGAGACAGGAAGATAGAGAGAAAGTTGCACTCAGCCACATCACCACAGATTCATGCACACATGGCACACACTTTTCTTGAAGGCCACCGACACAGTTCACTAATACCAGGAAGTCAATATCCAAAACTGTGAGATGAGTCATTGAATGTTAACACTTTGCCACTGCCACATCTGCTGCATCATTAAACTGTTATTAGTGAGCTTTTTCGCAATCCGGCATTGATGCCGTGTCGAGTGGCTTGAAAGAAAAACGTGTCGGCATGGATCCTCTTGTGCACCGCATCCACGCATCTTACTTCATTCATATTCTTATCACACTGCCTGATCAGCAGTTTGAGAGCAAAAAAGCTAAAACATTTAAAATCATCTAAAATATCCTGCATTAAACAGTTAAAAAGATTATAAAGAGACAGTCGTAAACATTCTTTAAAGTCCCGAAAACATGAAACTGAAGCACACTGAGGCAGTTTCACTTAAACTTGAGGAATCGGAACGCGATTCTTATTTCATGTAGACGACTAACGATGTCAGTGGAGTCTTCGTGTCTCTTGTTTAGTCTGCATAAACATATACATGTGATATCGCTCTGGTTCTATGTGTGCGTTTTAAGTTTTAAATTTTAAATGTGACTTTTTACTGTCTTGTCTTTGCTGAGAGAAAGATGTCTGTCCATGTGCTTTCAGTGTTTGTGTGCTATTCATTGCGATCCAGTCCTGTGTGCTTTAAAGTAGCTTTCTCTTTGACCTTAGCAAAAACTTTTCAAGTTTTATAGCAGATTTCCACTGCTGCAAATAAGTAATGCTACCTGGCCCATGTTTTTTTCTTTTTTTAATTATTGGAACCAACCGAGGAGGGGAAGGGGCAATTTTTCTTTCTTTGTCTTTGTCGTGATGGGTGTGGTGATATCTATGCACAGCTCGGTCAACCTACAAATCAGGAGATGCCCCGGTCACAGCAGCCTCGTTAGATAGTGGCTTGAGCGGCAGCGCCTACAGCCTACTGGACGAGGAAGCAGAGGCAAACGAGGTGGACAGTGCTATCTTCCAAGTGCCCCGATTGTGAGTCAATTTATTTATCCCACAATGAGCGGCATTTTAGCATTTTAAACATGTTAATTTGCTTAACTATTCCTCGCTGTACTAAAGATATACTGTATTACATTGTAATATGCTATGCACTTAAATAATTGATATATTTTTTTCTCTTCCTCAGTGGAAAGATCCCAAATGGCACAGATGTGATAAAATCATCACTGGGACACAGTGACACTGAAGGTTGGGCATGTATCTGTTATACAGTAAATGTTTTTTGTGTGTGTTTTTGGTGTATTCATTACAACATTCATGACATGATTATCTAAGAGTGCAATTAGCAAATGGCTCCTGAAGTTTGCATGACCAACATTTAAACTAGTCCCTTGTTGTTTTGTGCCATAAAGGGGTTGGACATGGTAGGCAGCTACTGACAGGTAGCATTTAAATAAGACTCACCTGGTATTAAATGGGCTCAAACGGTATCAAGAAAAGTGCCCTTTGCCATTTCACCACATCAGCCTGAACCATTGATATAAGCACACACTACATCGATACTTTTATCTTGATTCTGACCCTGCGGTCTAAATGTTGCGCCAGATATCAAGACACACCAGTCAAATTAGGCAATATTTTTCCAATCTTTTGTCCAATTGTGTGCAAATTGTAGCCTCAGTTTCCGGTTCTTAGCTGGCGGCTGAGTGGCTGTCGGTGTGGTCTTCTGATGCTGTAACCCATCTCCTTCAAGGTTGGATGTTTTGTGCTTTCACACAAACGTCCAACCTTGGAGAAGATGCTTTTCTGCATACCTTGGTTGTAACAAGTCGTTGTTTGAGTTATTGGTGCCCTAACTATCAGCTTAAAGCAGTCTGGTTATTGTCCTCTGAACTCTGGAATCAACAAGTTTTTTTTCCCAAAGAATTGCTGCTCACTGGATATTTTTGTCCTTTTCTGGCCATTTTCTATAAATCCTAGAGATGTTTGTGTTTGAAAATCCCAGTAGATCTAAACTACTCAGACCAGGCTGTCTGGCACCAACAACGCCACATTCAGAGACACATAAATCCCCTTTCTTCTCCATTCTTGATGCTCAGTTTCAACTTCAGTGGGTTGCCCTTTACCATGTTTGCCATGTGGCTAAGTGCACTGAGTTGATGCCATGTGATTGGCTAATTAGATATTTATATGAGCGAGCAGTTGAACAGGTGTACCTAACAAAGTTGCTGGGGAGTGTATATATTTTATAACTGCTCACAATAGTTACTCATCCAATTTTAAGTCAGCTCTATTGGTCTATTATATGATTTCTTACTCCTTCTTATGTTGTAATTTGGCTTACGACATACCACACTGTAATTATGACACTGTAATTTTAAATGGACTTATTTTATCTTTTTATCGTTTCACCATCTGCGCTCTGTCTTTTTGTGCCACTGGATTTCTCACTTTTCATCACTTCAGAAGACATTCCATCCACTGATTTAACCAAATCCCTGCCTGTATATGACTATATAGTCAACCTTAAACCCCAGACTTCATCCTAAATTGTAAAGATTTATGTTATTGTCCTGAGAAAGGAGCTGCTTCCCCACAATGTAACTGTGTAAACAGATTTATGTCCCCACAACATGGGTAATAAAAGTGCACTTACACACAGCCTACATTTGCCAGGGACTTGTTGACCCAGCTTTCACAACTGCCACTTCCATTCAGTTGCCAAGGCAACTAGAGGCCAGGCAAGGCTCATCATAACTTCTCCTTGTCCTTGTTAAATCAATAAATGTGATTGCTCGCAGACCATGTCAGATATTAGTCATCGCATTCACACACTTTGTGCTCTGTAGAGTACGTCCACTTTGAAAGATGCCACATTTAAAATAATTGTAATAATCGAGCTTATACCCATCCTTATTTTCTTAAATTAGCTCTAAAGCCCTTCCTATTTTCAGTAGCTTTTAACTTGAGGTCTAATAGTTTGCTGAAGTTCACTGTAAATACATCCTATTGCTCTTTTATTTGACTTTTTTCTTTTTTACCCATTTAGAAGGTGCCTGGAAAGCACCTCTGTTGTTTTAAAATGTGCCATATAAATAAGGTTAACTTGACTAGTGCATATTTAGCTTCATGTGTGTATGCATTTAGGTAAGACTCAGGTAATGGGAGAGATAAAGATCGCTTTGAAGAAGGAAATGAAGACGGAAGGTGAACACCTGGTCCTTGAGATTCTTCAGTGTCGTAACATCACCTACAAGTTCAAGACTCCAGATCACCTGCCTGGTAACTGAAAATACCTGATCTATGCACATGACCGAACCAATGCCAAGCTAAAGTACACCAACTGAGCAAGCTGTTGTGACATATCACTTATTGTCATCCATTCTGTCAAGAATCCGTGTTTTAGGAAGAGGAAGGTGAAAGAGAGGAAAAAGTATATTTACAGAGAGTTTCCATGATACGCATAATTTATATCGCATTTAACAGCTGGGAAGCCCACACAAATATGTGTTCTGGCATCTAGCTTCCCTTCAAATGTTTGCCAGTTTTATAGCAGTAGAACAACTGGTGTTGCAATAAAGTGTTTCCCAGCCCACGTAGAGCATTTAACCCTTAAGTAATATGTACTGTATATGTGTAAGGCTAAAAAAGAGACTGGAAAGGCTCACTAATGAAACATAAGCCTGGGCAAATAAGATGTGGGATGTGCCATTTATGAGTTATATTTGACAGAAACTGTGTAGTTCGAGTAGTAGCATACATTACAGTATGTAACTCCCTTTAATTGAAAATTAATTAAAGTGTTAAAAAAAATACAAATAGCTTCATTAGAGTACAATCGTATGCTATTTAGCCTTTAAAGATTGCTCTGTGCATTATTATTTAGACACATTGGATAAATGCATTGGGAGTTATACAGCACAATTACATGAATCTTTCTGCTGATATAATGCAGATTGTTGCCCACACTGCCTCTGCTTGTAGTATTTACTTCCTTAATACCCAAGCTGCCGGCCACTTGCTTGATTTGCATTTGCTACCAGATGGGACCTGCACAAAAGGCTTTATTTCAGCTGAGAATACACTGTCACTCTGCAGTACAGAATCTTGCTCGGTGTTTCATAATGGTAACACTTTATAGTTATGACAGTTATATAAACTATTTATATGTTATATAAAAGTATCGTTTTCAGTGCAGCTGTGTTCGCTATAGACACCCAGTGTCAGGATTCGAAGAATTGGGAGTCACACTCAAAAAGGCAGATTGAAGCAACAAAAGCCATCTTATTGCACTGATACAGAGAACACAAAGTCCAAAACAAACCATCGGGAATCCAAAGTAATCACAGAAATATGCAAGTGAACCACACTGTGAAAGAGAGCAGATGCTGAGGCAAAAATAAAGGGAAGGCATGGCTATTAGTACACAAAGGGGTAATCAGGGAAGTGGACACAGGAGGGTAACGAGGAAGCAGGGAAGTGAAACTAAAAGCAGGTTGCAAGAAACAACTGTCAGAGGAAAACAGGAAATTATTTAAAAGATATCTGCTTAAATCCTGAAATATGATACAGAAGGAAAGGATCAAGCCTTTATTTACAAGCTTGAAACTGAAAAAAAAGGCACATTTTTATTGCACTAATAAAAAGTTATTAAAGATATATGTTCTTAATCCCCAATCCTAAGTGGAAAAATAGGATGGAACTAAATAAACCTTTTAAAAAATACCTAAAACGAATGATTATAGGAGGACATTTTCCTGCAGATGTCAGAAGTCACACTCAGAGAAATCGCATACTTTGTTTTGTTTTGCTTTGTTTCTGTCCACAGATCTTTATGTGAAGCTCTACGTGGTGAATATCGCCACCCAGAAAAGGATCATCAAGAAGAAGACCAGGGTTTGTCGCCACGACCGTGAGCCGTCCTTTAATGAGACCTTCCGCTTCTGCATGAACCCCACCGGACACGCGCTACAGGTAATCCACACAAAGTGTATGTTCACAGTCACATGCCACGTTAGCATCCCATTAAGCACGCACAAAACTGCTGCTTTTTGTTCTTTCCAGCTATTCCTGGTGTCCAACGGTGGCAAATTTGTGAAGAAGACCTTAATAGGCGAGGCCTACGTGTGGCTGGATAAAGTTGATTTACGCAAGCGAGTGGTGAGCTGGCACAAGCTGCTTGCCAGCACTGCCCAGATCCACTCATAGGAGGGGACTCAATCTAAAAGAAATAAGCTTAAGTGGAAAACAGGTTTCTGACATCTGGGTTCCACATCTGGAACGCTGATTCAGTCTTCTGGAAGGTCTGGGCACGGGAAGAGGGGGGATTTTTTTCTTCAACCTTTGTTTCAGGGCTCGCATAGCTTGCTATTTGGGAAAAATGCTTTCAGCAAATGATGATATCTGCTCTGATTATGTGAAAAACTTGGAGGAAACCATTATGTGTTTACAGGGAATAAACACATGTTTACAGGACATACAGTGTACAGCAGTGTAGCCAGGACTTAGAAGAAGAACACAGGTGCTGAGTTCAGAGGTCAAGTGCAGAATCAACCAGGTATTACACACTTTATCTCACATACACACACACATGCTCACGACATTGCACACAGTCATTCACACAGAACTTCAAATCTAATAGATACAGGGAATGGACACACTTATAGATTCGAATTGATTTCTTTTGACGTTTTATCCATTAAATGTTCTTTAAATGGGGCACTCACCCTCGCTTTATTATTGTATTGATTTACAAAGCGTTTTGGGAATGAAAGAGTAAAGACTCTGCTATAGAGACCTCTTATTTATTTTTGTATTATGATATTAGTGTAGAGTTCTATGATTTGTCTTCTCCTCAATTATTTAAGTACTTTAACAATCTATTCTGGGAAGGAAGTATATTTTATAATACACTACCTAGCATTCCAGTTCAATACAAAAAGAAAATATTGCAAGCATGTTTTTGACTTTATTAACAAAAACTACTTGTTCCCTACCCTTTTAATCTGATTTTTCCCTGATGTTATCCAATGATGACTATTGTTTGATATAGCATCAATATTAATATATATCAAATTGGACATTACATGTTGTGCGCATGAGTCTATCTATTTGGTATGGAGTGCCACATGTTCAACAAAAAAAAACAAAAAAAAAACCACCTCCAAGGTTCACTTTGTATATAGTGAAGTGTCATAGCTGGACATTATTCTACATATATAGATATAGATATATAGATATATATAGATATCTTTATCACAGACAATCAAGTCTTGATGATTGTGGCATAGAGGTTTTATTTATTCATGATGCTGCCCCTTAGAATGTGAGACGTTTACTATATGAGAGTTAAGCATTTCCTCTTTTTCCTTGTAAGATTGGAGCACATTAGAAGTCTTGCATCAGTCTTGCTTTCGTTCGTAAGGGCAGTCAACTCGACGACACTCGCTTTTGTAGTATTTTGCACTTTTTCTGCTTAGAATGTAAAACTAACATCATCATCCTGCTAAATTATTATTTTTTCACTGGGAAAGTGAGAAACTATAGACCAGGAACTACCCAGAGTTACGATCCTAAGACGCGATGCTGTAACAGTAGCATGATGATGTTTCGTCCCACCTCCACGCGCACTTCATTAAACGCCTATTATGCCCATTATTTCATGAGACAGGTCCTGTACAGGTGTCAAAAGACTGGAAGGCTGGTTCATTTAACATTTTCAGTGAAATATCCGAGTGATTTCTATGCAACATCTACTATATAGCGTAAATAACTGCACCCTGACTTGCCAGAAATATGACACTTGGTTTGAGAGGAAGCATTTCTGTTTATTTTGCACTGCTATGTTTTCATGTCCTCCACGAAATGGTTACTGCTTTAATATGATTTGTTGTTTTCTGTTTGGTTTTTTTTATTTACCGTGTGATTTTTTTTGTATTGCTATATTAATCTTTATTTATTGCCTGTGAGACAATTTCATATGTTGTATTATATTTGTTTACAGTACATATCAGATGTACAGAGAAATTAGGTTTTTATACACTATGTAGTGCTTGTTTACAATATTTAGAGGGGCCTGAAACTCAGAGAACCAACTTTTTTGCCCTTGTGCACGAACACACGCTCACATTAAAATCGCCAATTCCACGTAGCTATAAATCAAAGGAAGAAAATCGAACATTCCTAGTCATGATTCCTATCTTTGTTTTGCCCTCCCCCTTCGATTTGTTTCATTTTCCAGTAAGTGTATGAATTACCAAAAAAAAAGCAACTAAAGAAAACCTTGTAATCAGTGGACTTCACACCTCAAACGTAAGGTGCAACGTGCATTTTTGGTTGCTTTTCTTAACTTTCTATCCATGTGCTCGTGTGTGTGTGTGTGTAGCATCTTCACACCAAGTCCATGCATGTCATTAGCTCTAATGCAGTATCCCTTCCTTTACATGTTATCTGTCTAAATTATCTAAAATTTCTCATAACACACAATGAATTATACAAACACACACGCACACACACACCCAGATGCCATCTCTATCTTCAACCTTGTAAATAAATAGTTTTTTATACTGGGGTTTGGGGAAGCAATAGGTCTTTTAGCAGTCAAAACTAAACAAAAAACAAACAAAAAAAAGTCGCGTGATCTTAGAAGTAACAGGGAGTTGTTTCTCCTTGGATCGCTGTACAGTGGATAGGCCGAGGGAAGAGCTTCTGTCTGTTTTTAGGGACCCAGATTTACCTGACCCTTTACACCAAACACTAAAAGTTTACCAGAGTCTAACACAGAAGTCTATCTTCACAACTCAAGTAGTTGCAGGAGAATTTAAATGTGCTCACACTGGATGTTGCATGTTTTGTTGGTGGTTCATACTATTTTTGTGTCCGGATATTATTAAAGAAAAAACAAGAATGGTGTAGAGAGAGATATAGAACAAATGTTATAGAGGGGGAAGTTATGAAGAAAACTTATAATTGATGATGTATGCTGAGTGTACAAAGAGTATGCTTGTAAAACCTGTCTGGTTTTTCACTTGTAAGTAAACAGAAAAAAAAAAAGAAATCTAATGTCATGGTTTTGTGATTGTATACAGGAGGTATTGATAAATTATGCAAAATGTGCTGTAAAAATGGCTGTTGCCCCATGTCTAAATATTAAATATCATATAAATGAAGCATCGTTAGCGTGCATTGAGTTTACTGCATATTCCACTGTTAGATTATTATTTTGAACGTAGAAAGTGCAATTTCTGGGAAACTGCAGTGTTTTATATATATATATATAATTAATATATAATATATATATATATATATATATATATATATAAATACACATGTGTGTGTGTGTGTGTATATATTTCCGGGGGGGGGAGAGGTTGCATACATGGCTTGCATATGAGGAAGTAACAGAATACAGCCACAAGATGGTGCCATCTGCTATCGTTTTGGCCAGTTGGAGCCCCGTGGTGACGTCCAAGCAAGCCTACGCGAGCCTGCAGTGCTCACACATGTGTCTTCACTTATTACTGATTAGTCTTTTCGTGACTGTGTGGGAGTGTGCAGATGGGGCTTGCTGACAGATCCTTCTGTAGCATCATTTGGTCCGGCTTCATTGTAAGACAAATCAGCACCAGGTGTGTGTATATGTGTGCTCAAGGCTATTTGTTGGTCCTTGATCCCTTTGTATGCATAATGCTAAAATGTGCTATAATAGGATATCTGACACGTGCTTAGATGCGTCTATAATGCTACGTTACTTTCATATATATATATATATAAATATATAAATATAATAATATGGTATACGGTGTTGCACTATAGTAACATATGGTTTAATGTGGCATGTAGCAGCACCATATAGCATGCCCTGTTTGATCCTCCTTGTTAACTCTAATGGTGTCACTACATCAAGTAAGATTAACATAATGTTGTATTCAGTAAGACCATAAGAGCAAAGGAGAAGATGGAATTCCCCCTGTTGGCCGTCAGAAAAAAAATTCAACTTTGAGATGTAGAATCTTCGCCCATTTTTTATATACAGTCTATGGTATGAGTCAAAATTGTGTTAAAAAACAAACAACCAAACCTTAAACTGAAGCAAAATGTAACCATCCAAAGATAGATGGATAGATAGATAGCACACAATGACAAAGATGAAGACTAAACTACACAGCACACCAGGGAGACACTATAAGGCACATATAAGGATGAAAGTAAAATAGGCAGTACCTGACAGCAAAACAAAGAAAGTCATGGAGACAAACAGTAAGACACCAGCAAGCAAGCATGGGGAAAAGGAAACACAATACAACTAAAGATTACAAAGGAGACTGGGAAGTCTGAAAAAAGGTGTCTGACATTCTCCACGGACAGGCTTTTCTCATTAGCTTCACCCGGCAACATCATGAAGAAAAGATTCAGTTGTTCGGCTCAACAACCATGGGTCTGAAATCTTGCTGTACTTTCGACCCTGGAGGGCTGTTCTTTAAAGCCAGGAAACTGAAAAAAGCTCAGAGGCGACTAATGAGAATGACAGGTTAGCACTAAAACCTTCTAGAATCAATATACAGTCCACTGACTCATATTTAGTAGATCTGAATTTACTTCATGAGTGATGGTGGAATAATGTGTTTACTGCAACATACAACAACCTAAAAGCATATCCAAATCATAGAAATAATCTGTAACAGTTTTTCATTTTAAAAAATGTTTTAGACTTTTTATACATATGTATATTACACCAACAGGGGGCGTAAGAAATCCATTTTACACAGTCACGCAGTTCTCTGTAGTGGAATCCTTTTGGACCTTTGACCTTAAGTATTTCTGAGTTCAAAATAGAGATCCCATAAGCTTAAATGCATTTAAACTTATAAATAACTTACTTATTATTGCATTTTTTTCAGGGAGTAGTGCGAGTCTGTGTGTGTGTGTCTGTGTGTTTACAGACAGGGGATGGATCACCTGTGTCAGCACCTGCTGAATGTTGACTCTGCAGCTGAAAAAAACACCTGCTTCTGCCAGCTGAGTCTGCCACAAAATAATCATGTGTTGGAAAAATAGAAGATCACCTACAGTTATAATACCTAGAACAAAATAAGGATTTTATCTATTATTTTATAGGAATGAGCAATCTATACAAATGCACAGTAATGAAAACGTTTACAAGCTGTAATGAGAGCTGCTACGATTCATGATTTGACGGTGACACTGTCAAAACTACAGGAGGCTGAGCTGGAGGTGACGGAGTTGAAAGTACTAAGGTTTTTGTTGTGAGTGACCAGGAGGGAACATGGTTAGATGGAAATATATCAGAGAGGCATTTCAGGGTGAGTGGTTTGAAGGCAAAGTTAAGGAGGAAAGGGTTGAGATGGTTTGGACAGGTGCAGAGAACGGATAGTAGATATACTGGACAAATGGTTGAAGTTGAAGGTGCCAGGTAGATAGCCAGGAGACAGACAACCCACTGGTGTGACCCCTAAAGGGAGCAGCTGAAAGACAAAGAATATGCAAATGCACAGTAACTATATGGTTAACAGAAAACAAAAATCCTTTCCTCAGTCTACACAAGTACTGTTTAATGCTCTAGTTAGCTTTTCTAACAGCTGAATTGCAGTTCTAAGAGATATGTATTTCTCTTGGCTTATTGGTGTACAGTGATAGAGAGTTGATCAGGCATTTGGTGTTGATGAAACCAAGCCAAAGTTACTGCTGTGAAGCACCTTAATGTTAATTTGTGCCCTAAAAAAGAATTCATTATATATATAAAAAAGCAGATGATGCTAATCAGGTACATAAAGCAAAAAGATGACTAATGTGGGGAACCTTGATCATCGCTGGTGATCTGGTACAATTGTAATCTTTCTGAGAACACCTGTTGCAAACACTACACCAGATATCGCTGAATGGGGCAAAGTGAGCACTAATGAGCCTCAAATTGATCTTTTGGAGAAAAAACTTTAAGTATAGCAGGATACTAAGCTCTTAGCTACTGCATGCTAGAACAAAAGTGTACCCAGTAAGCTTGACAGTTGGCTAATGTTCACATGAAATATTGTCCGCTATTTAAACTTTGCATATTTATAGAAGAAGTTCACCTTCAGCCAGAGGTTTCTCCAATTTTACCTTTATGTGCTAAGCTAAGCTAGCCAACTGCTAGCTGTAGCTTAGCTTAAATTTACACAATAATACATTTAGAAAGAAGCCTGGTTCTGTCAAATAATATCCCACAAGTTAAGTTAAGAAGCTTCATAAAGCAAAAATATGTTTTATGTCTACAATTTGTATAGTCTGTAATGCTGCAGCTCTCTGTATAAGTTCTTTCCAGAAGTGTTCATGAGAGAAAGATAGAGGACCTTAGACTATATGGTTTGATTAAGTTATGATGTGCTTCTGGCTGAAAATTTCCACAACTTGATCAAATTATGCCAGGCTCTCTCTGCCAGGTTCTTCTCTGGTGTGTACTTTATTCCCTTTATGTCTCCCCTGTTTGTTTCATGTTCCCTGTGATCTCTTTCATATTCCCCCTCTTCATACCGCTTCTCAGTGAGTCCCCCTTTGTTTTCCCCCCTCTCTGATTCTGATAGATCCCTTACATCCTTCGCTTCTAAAGATGTGTTTGTTCCCCTCTTTTGTCTTCAAAGATGTGGCCTGAATCAGATGGTGGCTTGGAAACATTGTGCTGTTGTCCTGCATCTGTGATTCACATAGCGGTAACTTTGATGAAAACAACAGAGATCTGACGAGGCGGGATCAGGCAATGTCGTTGGATGCATCAGCTTATGCAAGGTTAGACAGAGGTTACACATCCATCAAATATGCCTTGATCTCCAAAGAGGTGCTGCAAACTTTCACTTGAGATATCACTTGGAAGCACTGCTTCTTTAAGACTTTTGCTGATGGGATAAACTACCCTTGTAACACAGTGGAGGATAAGGGTGCCTAAATTGGAATACTCAAGTAAAATACAGGTATCTACCTTTAATTTTTGCATTGATTGAGTAAATGATCTTAGTTACCACTGCAGAATAGTGTAAAAGAAAGCATCTGGATTGTGATTGAATTTCCATAACCTTGTTCCTAAATTTGTTCTCTTGCTCTGAAATTCACATCTGGTAAAGTCCAGATGTCCAGATGATACACAGACACGGATGTGCTGTCTCTAACCAGTGACTGATGGTAGTGTTTTGATAAGAGGAGACGCCAGCATTTGGACACATGAATGGGAATTGAGAAAGGGATCTTTGCTGGCAAGTGGTGTCAGAAGATGATGTTGTAGATCATGAGCTTTAGCTGCAGTGGTTGTATATGATGCAGAAAACATATGTTAACATAACTATTAGGATAAGACATTAATCAGAGTCACCTGTTACATATGTGACAGTTTACTGCTCTACATGCATGTGGTCACACGAGTCTTGTCAACAAAAATTCTTTTGAGAATTTGAATAGGAAAATGTAATTTTTTAGAAAGGATTCAAGATTTTGTGAGTTAAAAAAGAGAACAGGACAGCTAAGACCCTTCATATCTCATCACCTCAGATCCCCCCTGAAGACAGCTTCCCATCACTGGATGCCCAGTTTCACCCTAAGGCCATCCTTTGCTGGGCCATGACTTCTCTTACTGACAGAATAGTTTTCACTAATAGTAATGTGATCAGTCAGTGCACAGAGGGGACCGAGGCTGCCCCTGTCCCAAATGAGACATCATATCACACACACTCTCCGTCACTTCTCTTTCACTGAGTCAACAAGGTGTAACCACTCCGGCCATCACCCGAGACAAGACTGTGGTGCAAGAAAACCAGTGTTGTTTTTTATGGGGTGACCTACAAACGCTGTGTCTCGCAAAGAAGAGGATATTCAAGGAATTTGCAAACACAATCTTTAAAATTATATAAATATCAATAAGTTTGAATCAATCATAAATAAATGATGTGACGCCTCAGGAGAAAATCAGACACTTGCATATACTGTATGCTAACAACAAATAGCATCGCTGTAGAGCAGGGGTAGGCAACTCCAGGCCTCGAGTGCCGGTGTCCTGCAGGTTTTAATCGCACCCTGGGTTAACACACCTGAATCAAATGATTAAGGAGACTTGAAGGAGGAGCTTGGCCATTTGTTATTGTTTTGGGAGATTTCATGCTGCTGTACAGTAACTTCTCATAGACTA